CTCCACCACAGATCCATAACAGGAGAAACCAGCTGCCGTCTCTCCTCGGTGGAGGACTTCTGAGGGCCACAGTGTGAAACGGATCGATAACCTGCGATCGATCGGGCCCTGGCAGCGGCGCAGTAATGAGCCTCTGATCTATGCTTCTGTAGGTCTACACGGGAGGTTTGGAGTGTAGGCAGCAGATCTAGAGCTGCAGATCTGTGATAGCACTAATAACTCTGTATGAGCGTGTGTGAGCGCTTGTTTTACTGCATTCATGGGGTCCAAACACAGGCAGTCCACTACAGACCCCACACTATATGTGTGGGGTCTGAAAACTTTATGGGGACTAAACTGCTGAAAGTTTAAAGGGTTGTTTTGAGGGTTAATCAACATCCACATAGGTCAAAATCAGTGTTTTTATCACGTCTAGTGCTGTACGTCTCCTGTCCTCCAGTATCTGTCCAACACTGACAGGGAGTCATGTTTTAGTTATTTTCAGGTATTCTTAATGGCGTTTTTAGAATTTACTGATAATCAAAGAGTAGTTTGTCTCTTCTGACGCCGCCGGAGCAGAGTGTTTCTGAGGGCCAATGTGTTACAGACATCTATGGCCTCTGTGATTACCAATGTCATTTACAGAGTTCCCTAATGGAGAGACACGCTCACAATGACAATGCTAACAGGCTAACGTATCGTAACCAAATGGATCAAATTCTGATAGAGAAATGAGTAATTCAGGTTGTGACGCTCCAAAAAATGTATTGTATTATTTTTTAGCCACTTCTTTCACAATGTAAACTTATGGCAAAACTTATTTTTGGAAGCCATTGCTGCATTTACACAGGTTGGCCACTATGTCATGTTGGCTTCAAAGCCCAGTGCTCCTCTTCGAATTGACGCTTCTGGCAGTAGTCTTTTGGTGACCTTTGACCTTCTTGCTATTTTTTCTTCATATTTTCCTTTGTGCTGAAATCTTTAAAATAACAAGAATAAAAACCCAAAGTGTTTCTTTTCTCCCAGGGCATGATGGGAATGTGGGGAGTCCGAACATGTGCTCTGTGTGTTATGTAACAGGTCACACTTTAAATATAATGTTACACACACGGGGACATGACATTTACCACAGCCCAGGTCGTTGTGTAATATGATAATTATCAGGTTACACTAATTATCAGAGTATGCTAATGGTGGCATTATGGTAATGAGGAGCACTGACAGAAATGTTCAGAAATTCATTTATTCAGTGAAAATAAAGTGACAAACACAAAATGTGCTCACAGTGTTATTGGTCTATCTCGCTGTCAATCGACCCATCAATAACCCCGCTCCTTATGAGCACAATGAACTGTAAAACTTGTTTGTTGCTATAGCAACGATTGAGCATCAGAGTTTGTTTGTTATTTATAGCTCTGGTTCCCAACCTTTTTCCTTCAGGGAGCTCTTTTCTATCACCGAGTAAACTAAGTGTTCTTTCCACTACTGAGTATACGGGCAAGCAGCAGCTCAGCAGGAACTCGTAGGGTCGCTGGTTCAATTCCCAGCTCCTCCTCGATCAAACCACGAGTCCCCGTATTGCTGGTCAGACCAGCACATGCAACATAAATGTATTTACCTTCACAAGAAGTTAACAAATTGAACTTTATTTTAACACAAACTCACTTGTAAAGCCTGTCAATTAATTAAGTGATTCAATTAATTTAACTTAAAACTAATCAGTATATTACACTCACATGCAGCATTTCTCCAAACTTATTTAAAATGTTTTAACAGATTTTATCAGATTGTTTTACTTTTTTTATTTTTTTTTACTAAATCTATACACTTCATCATCATTAAGAATTATATGGATGCATACGTGGTGGTATTATGATACATAAACTAAAATAAAAAGTCAATTTAAAGAAAATGAGTCAATGGAACAAACTGGAATTATATCGCCAATAATTAAAATACTGCACGAAAGAAGTTCACTCAAAACAACAATTCATCTTTGAGTTGGTTTCATTAATGGGAATGAATGATGGATTAAGTCATGTCAGCATACTTTTATTTGGATAGATATGCTTTTACAGTGTTTATAACACTAACCTGTAGCACTTTGAGATCNNAAATGTATTATTATTTATTATTATAAAAACGGTGGTATTTTTAAATTGTGTTGAACGTTGTGGAGCAGCACCTGCTCCTCTAAGGCTTTAATCTTAGAGTCAGTGACCTTTGCTGCGTTCATCTTTATTCATGCAGGAGGAACAACATCCAACGCGCCACAGTCTGCTGCTGCTCATACATAGATACCTTTAAGTTTCCTTTAACTGGAGATTAAATCTTTAGTCACTATATTATAAGATATTTATATATATATATCTATATTTATAAATGTATAGTTCCAGCAGTACCTTCTCCATAATTCTATTCAAACATGTTTTACACAGATACACAATATGAAAGCTATTAAAAAAATTTTTTTGTGATGAAGACTTATTATTTTAGTATCTTCAAAGAATTTATCTAATTATCCTGTTTAGATAATGTTTTAAAAGACGATACAAAACAACATTTAACATAACTGAGCCGAACAAACCTCACTTCAGACCTAAGCTTCAGACCTCCAAGCTTGGCACTCTTCCTGGAGGGCTCAACGAGTCTCTGGACTCTGCTTCCTGTTGCCCATCAGCAAGGCACCACACTGTCACTGGACACTGTCAGTCAGTCTCACATCACCGTGACAGAAACTCAACATGACAGAGGACACACACACACACACACACACACACACACACAAACACTCTGCCCTTCAACAAGCACCAGAAATGTATTGCAAAATGTAATTAAGGATTTGATTATTTACTTTTACCCCTGAGACACACACACACACTCTCTGTAACGCACACACACACACACACATACACACTGTCTAACACACACACACACAGTGTCCTTCAACATGCCAAGAAAGTAATTTATCTTGTTGCTGTGCGATTAGGAAATCCTTGTTTCACCACAAATCCCCCTGACACACACACACACACACACACACACACACACCTAAATACCTGATGGGTGGGGCTGTTACCATGGTTACCTATGTGTGTTTTTTAGGCAATTTCGGTGGCATTATAATCAGATTAAAGTCTAATTTCAATGTGTCAGATATTGAGACTGTCTGTAACACACAAATATACTGTGTTTGTGTGTGTGTGTGTGTGTGTGTGTGTGTGTGTATGTGTTCAGTTGTCATGTTTCCAGCAGCGCAGCGGCTTGTTCTTCGTTCAGTTCATAATCAATTTATAGTCGTTTTTTTAAAGCAAAAACACCACAACTCCTCTCGTCGCAGCCTGTTAGATGTAAATATTTGATGGTTTTCTGATTTTTCGACGACAGTAAACTGAATATCTTTGAGTTTAAAAGTTAGTTGAACAAAATCTGACTTTTGAAGACATCACCGAACAAATGTCTGTGTTGTTTGTATAAGTTAAAGAAATCAGATTTAACGTATCAATCAGTCCCTTCAGGAAGTTGCAATCACAACAATTAACTCAAATTAAACCAGTCCCTGATAATTCTGTATGACTTTTCTACAACTACCGCAACTTTTCTACAGATCTGAATGAACGATTTCCGGCGAGTTTCACTAATCGCAGCAGTCCGCCCCCTAAGCTAATTTAAGCTAACTGCGTCCTGACTCCAGCTTTGTACTGAACACACAGACATGAGACTGTATGTATTCAGGTCCAAGAACAACAGCGAAATATCCTCAGAGGTGATCCAGTCTGTCCTCAGTGAAAACTTTCAGATCAGATCAGAAAGAAGATCAGTGAGGACAGAACAGAGGAAATTAAATCACAGCTGTGAAACTCAAACCCAGACCTCGCTGGTCTGAATCCACCTGTCGACCTCCGCTGCCCTCCCATCAGACCTCCGTCTCCTCCACAGGCTCCAATAAAGCTCCAATCCTCCACAGCGCCGGAGGATCAGAGCATCGGAGCTTGTTTCCTTTGGCAAAGATTTCACATTAAGCTGATTTACAGAGACTGAAGTTAGAGGGAGAAAATGTGCGAGCAGAAATGAAGAAGAGGACAGAGAAGTGGAGGAGGATCATATATTTAAGCAGTAAGGTGTAATGTTAAGAATGTGGGGCGGAGGTCAGATATAGACGCTGTGCAGTTGAAGTCTGTGAGCAAGTTCAGCAGTTTTTCTTGTCACTTTTTACAGGATGTGTTGATGTGGGAAAGTAATAAACTGCAAGAGGACACAAAACCCTCCAGGATGGCAGCAGAAGACTAGTCTGGTTTAAATATTTCCGAAAAAGAGAAAAGAAACTGTAACAAATCCAGTATTCAGATTCTTTACTTCATTAAAAGTACCAATACAATAGTGTAAAAATGCTCCGTTATATGTAAAATACTCCAAGTACAGATAGAAAGGCTATATCCTAGATCCTATAACCTCCACTACAGCTCCAGTATCTCAGACCAGAACAATGAGCACTACGGCCCACCAGACTCCATTCACTAAAACAGTAATTTTAAGTAGCAGATAATTGCAAAGCACAAACAAAATAAAACTCACCAAAACCATTTTTGTTAGTCTTTCCAACAATCACCAACTCTGCTTTGGTTGAAATAAAACCTTCATTTACCGACGTAGATTACAAATTCTTTGTGAAAAGTGCTGCAATGTAAGTTAACACAATAACATACGTCCACTAACAGTAGTTGTT